GCCAACTGAATAGTTCATTCTCTAAATTTCAGCAGTGTTTTTCTTATTAAATTGTTCATCTTCAAATTTATTTCAAGGCATCTTTTCGAAGCAGAATCTTAAGCTTAAGGACTTCTTATTCATTTCGAGGTGTTTTGGTGAAGCAAAATTTGAAGATTAAAATGTTGGCTTCTTATTCATTTCGAGACATTTTATCGAAGCGGGATCTATAGCTTAAAAACTTGGATAAGTTGAATAAGCGTGACAGGTTGCATGTAGTTGTCCTAATAACCTTAGAAGAAGTAGTGTATCATTTTACATTTTATTATAATAATTGCAGTAGGCATATCGGTGCATCCAATAGTGCACAATAGTTGTAAGATGCTTGCATGAGGTTCATTAAGCATTTGGAACGTCAATTTCAAAGTGGATAATGGTGCCATTTTGCACTCTTAAGACCCAGATTGAATCTTTAACGAACGATTAAGATTTCAAAATATGGGATCCGATGATTGTTATTGTTATATATTTATGGTATAAATATAAAATGTGAAAGAAATAATCAAATTAGATAAAGTGCCAAAGTGGTGGGAAATGTGACATTTGTGTGGGACGTCAGGGGTTCGAGTCACTCCCCACGCAGATATTAAAATGTCTTGATTGGGGCCTTGGGGTTTTTATATCTATTCTGGAGTACAATTGAGAGTTCTAGAAAAATCATTTGTAATTGCTGCACAAGTGGTTTAAGATCGTTGTATTCTGGGAGTGATTGTCCACGGAGGTCGCAGCAATTATTGACGGGCAATTTCACTTTAGGACATCGTGCTGTCACGAGACTCGATCGGAAGATAAATTTTACATTTCTGCATTATATTGTTCAGATCACTACTGCAACTAATTAATTTTTTCCAACAGTTATATCAGATGTAATATACCTATAAAAGGCCAATGCTATCTCATGTTTGAAACCTTCTGAGAGATCTTACTCCCATCCTGTACATTGGTGCAAAAACTTCCACTTAAGAGGAAATTTAGGTATGAACTTTTAACACTTTTTCTCCTTCATATTAAATTTATTCTCCTTTGGAAATGTGTCCCTACGAGAAAATGTAGTGAGGTAGAAACATTCTATATTTCGGATTCAGTTGAACTAATAATTCCCAAACCTACTGACACAGCTGACCACCCACCTGGGCCACCTCCTAGTTGTATGGCTTTTAACACATCCCAATTACTATTGCACCCTTTCATTCTGAGTATATGCAGTTTCATTGGGGCTGCAATCTCAGTCTACGTGTGACTAGATAATAGGTTAAACGAGTTACTTAATTTCATTTATCAATTAATGTTACATTAATGCCACTTAGATTGGAGATGCAATCCAATGAGATTAAATAGCATTACTCTTTCATTCTTGAAGTTTTCAACTGCTAATAGAAGATGGAGGAAAATAAAGGGGGGCATCCTTGAGGATATTCATTGCCCTTTCCATACCTCGTAAATCACCATGAGCATGCCCTTCATGGCTGGTACTATTTATCTCGATCATCGAAGGATACCACATTACTAAATGACTTGAAATCCTCTATCGAGTGTTGGAAGAGATATTTCTTCTAATTTTGAGGTGACTGGGGAGTTTAGTGCCGATGACCCAAGGTCACATATAAGTATCTTTAGAGGATATATCCCTTTACATTTGCGGGTTTAATTATTGTACTGTTATTTAACAACGATATTTTAGATAATTTTTGTATTGTTATTTATATTGAAGATGATATTAAATATTTTTATTGTCATCTACACGGTCCCGTTCAATGTGCATCAAAAACATATTATCGTTCTTACTCCAAAATCTAGACAAATTTTAATATGAACAATGTAATCTTATCAATATAACCGTCAAACTTTATGTACTGATTGTGAACGATATATTTTTTTTATCACATCACGAATTGTGTTTTACCATACTCGAACCATCAAGCATACAAATTGTGACGTCATATATGACCGTGAAACCTTGATAATTATTTCAAATTGTAACAAGTGAATAATCGAACATCAATTCATAATATTGTTTTACAAACTACTACTTGAAAAGGGCATCAACGATATTTTAGATAATTTTTGTATTGTTATTTATATTGAAGATGATATTAAATATTTTTATTGTCATCTACACGGTCCCGTTCAATGTGCATCAAAAACATATTATCGTTCTTACTCCAAAATCTAGACAAATTTTAATATGAACAATGTAATCTTATCAATATAACCGTCAAACTTTATGTACTGATTGTGAACGATATATTTTTTTTATCACATCACGAATTGTGTTTTACCATACTCGAACCATCAAGCATACAAATTGTGACGTTATATATGACCGTGAAACCTTAGATAATTATTTCAAATTGTAACAAGTGAATAATCGAACATCAATTCATAATATTGTTTTACAAACTACTACTTGAAAAGGGCATCAAACTAACAAAAATTGCTGATCAGAAAAAGCTATTTGCCATGGTACTCCTCAGGTTTTGGATGGACATTGGACAACCGAAGGTTTACATCATTGGCCTGAGACTTTACTTGGACTCCTTGAGAAAGAAATCTTCACCGAAATTGGCCGCTGGATCTCACATGTCCTGGTGGATGAGAGTGCCAAAATTGGGGAGGGTTGCTTGATTGGACCAGATGTTGCAACTGGCCCTGGTTGTGTAGCAGAATCCGTAATGCTGGGGGGGGGGGGGGGGGCG